AACAGATATCTAACCTCAGGTAAATCATGATGTACATGGTCTTGATATCTGTGAACATACAACTCTGACGTTAGCCACTCAAGGCCTATATCACTGTGAACAGTTAACGTTGAAGCGACTTCTGTCCGACCTACGCCATAAATAAAAACGTCACTTTCTATTCGGTTCGACCGATGGAATAGATTTGTGAAGTGATATATTATTTAATTTGTAAAATCGGTGGTTTGGATGACTCACGAGTGTTGAAATAAATAGGTGTGGCATCACTTGATTGAATAATCAATCCCATATTCGGAACGCTATGCTCTCTCCACAATTTCAGCAAGTCCATCATCTCAAACTCAACACAACGTTCAGTTGTGTTAAGAATATAACTAGATGATAACAGTTGAGTTGAATGGGGTCTGTTCGCATACGTTATGCCGTATTCACGCCATAATGTATTAGGTTGATGCAGTTCAATACGTGCATCAGGCGCCAGACTCCCCGTGTAATACAATTTCAACTTGGCTTCTTCAAGATATAATAGATCAGGTATTCTGGCATCCAAATCACCAAAACTTATGAAGGATTCAAACTGCTCTATTTCATCTCTACCAATCATCATACGCTGCGTGTCACCAAAGTTCAGTGTCTGCAAGTGAGGCTGACTTCGCGTTGTCGCATCGGCAATCGGCTCTAGTTTCACTACGACACGCGGTGCCTCAAACAGTTCATATTTACCATGTGCACGGTTATGTGGACGAACGGAGAGCGTGCCCTCGAGATCTATTTTAGATGCTGCTTGATGGATGAGTCCAATTCTCCTTGCCCTCTGTACATGATAGAAAGATAATTGGTCATCTCATGTGTACGTCTGACGCGGACAGATACACTTGAGGACAAATCAGAAGATAATCTTGTCGCAGCTATTAAAGATGAAGATAATTCTTCGTCCACCTGATTGTATAGAATATACTTTGCAGCAAAACGATTTTCTGGACTTTTAATATGTATATAACTATCTAATAGAGTCTCCCCGTTTAGAATTTTACTCACTTCCTGTCTCATTGTATTGAGAGCTACACCCGGTCTGCGGTGACCTTCATCTCAAAATTACCATTAGGGTTAGGCTTCGCATGGATATCAGTTGCAATTCGAATATAAAAATCAATGCTCTCATCAGGCTGAGTTAGACCATATGTCAGATAGTCGATCGGAAGAAAAGGATCAGCCTGTCTGGATAATTGGACTTCTACACCATCGGTTTCAAATTTCTTATCCATCTCCAGATAAACATTATCCACGGCATATCCAAGTAGATTTTTAATTCTAACTTTCTTCGTTAATGTCGTCTGTCCAGCGATGATCACACCGTAATCAAGTTGCTTCAAAATACCGCCAAATGTATCGGACAGAAAGTCTCCCGACTCATCCATAAACATTAATCCAGAATACGATCCTATAAATTTGGTTTCCCAATAGTCGATGACGCCCCAGTAATCCTGGAACTCCACCTTCAACGTGTTTTCGGCACCAAAATTAACTTTCCTCTCGTCAATGCCAATATCGATATTAAACGGCGAGGACATTAATTGAGTGAAATCCCCTTCCTCTGGATAATATGGTTTATCGTTTAATAACACGCGATATTTGACTTTACCCTGATCTGCATCGTCCAGCACACCCTTTAGCTTGTTGCCAGAAAAGGTTACGTTGATTGTAGCTGTAGTATTCAGAAGTTGCAGAGACATATCTTTGAACTCGACTCCATTACGGGGCGAGTCCACCACCATCATCACTTCATCCAACGTATAGGTATTTTCATAATGCATACTACTGTCAAAGTAATAGGCAATTCGGTTTAAACCTGTTAAGTCCCTCTGAGGGATAGCGTTGAGTGTATCCCAGACTCATTCCCTTCTCTTGAACAAAGTTGAATTCGTAATATCCACATCGAACCACTTATTGAAATGATACGTCTTCCATGTTATCCCGGAGTCAAACGATGCAGCCAATTTCAATATGCCCTCAGCAGAGGTTGCGACTACTTTCGTAGCAATAATTTTTTTCACATCTCCGTACAAAGCAATATCAGATGGTTGCACAATTAATTGTTCGAAAGGCAACGCATTGTACGTTAATATCATGTCGCTATTGCCTGCAATAACGTCTTCATCATTTGTCCACGTAACGACGTCAAAATCTCCCTCAAGTTCATCCAATGGGGAGTAGTTTGCAGTGATATTTAATTCGGCTGACGTTTTGGATGGGTCATCTGTGTAATACAGGACATCGACACTATCGCCTAATTCATCATATAAGGTAAAAGGTTCGGTTTCGATTGTGATCGTTGATTCTGTTTGATTGGGATCGTCGGTGTATTCGATGATTTTGATCTCTTTATCTTCCCATTCTTCAGCTAAAGTAAATGGATCGGTTTCGATTGTGACCACTGATTCTATTGCTGCTGGGTCATCAGTATAATAAAGTACTTCAATATCCTTGTCTGCCCACTCTTCTTCGAGTGTGAATGGGTTCGTTTCGATATTGAAGGATGTCTCTGCTTTGTTTGGGTCGTCCGTGTAATAACACAGTTCAACCTCGCCAATGAGTTGTAACCATGCTGATTCAGGTATGATGGAAATGTCGTTCATGCCATAGTCAATGTAATCTTGCTCCGTTGGTGTATTGTTAGATAGCTTGTTCCATGAATTTGAATAATAGCAATAAGAACCATTGGCATACAAAAGTGTATTATAGTATTTTTGATTATAAACATCAATTGCATCAAAAAGAACATATTTGGTATCATTTGTTGTTATTTTCACTGTATGAACACCTTTACTTAAAGTTGTTTTTTCGTATACCACTGCTTGCTGAATGACCAGATTTACGTTGTATTGGCTGAAAACTTCAGTAATCCCGTCAATTGTAATAGATATATTAGATGACCCCAAGTTATGACTATTACCGATTATCCTAATCTTAGTGCCTTCAAATTGAAACTCTACGGTTGAATTTATTGACGATGAAAGCCTAGAAGTTCCGTTGTAATATACAGCGTTTGGAGAGGAAGCGAATCCACTAGAATACTTGAAAATATTGCTGGTATCATCGTACCTTTTCCAACCCTCTTCTGGAAGCGGTAGTGCCCAACCTAAAGTTGCCATTAATTAATCCACTCCTTTCTGAATTCTAAATAGATAGTTCATTTTTTTGCTCATGTGATCGATGCTCTCTTGATTGGTGTTTTACTTGTGTCAATTTTTTGTTTGAAGACTTTGCCTAAACCGATTTTTTCACTATCTTTAACCAATGATCTTCTTTTGATGAATTCATCACCTAGATCAATAATCATTCCTTTATTCATCCCATGCTCTAGAAAGCTTGTTTCTGAATTGTCTACGAAAGATAAATATGTATCAAGTTCATACATACCTAAATCACCAATCGATAGAAAATCTCCTGCTCCTTGATTGGCAGTAACATTAATTCTATATTTCTTGTATGCAATCTTATTTTTAAATCCATAGAATCTAAACTCTTCTGCGGCAAAGTTGGGTTGATTTACTCTCGAATCAAGAACGATCCATTTTACTCCATCCCATCCCTCAAATGTCCAATTCTTCGGGAGTCTATTAGCTGGAGTTGTACCAGATTTTATAGAATAGCTTGTTATAGTTACAGTAGAAGGAAATTCATAACTAAGCCAACCTACTAAAACTCCGCTTGCAGTAACCCATCCGTTCTGATCAACAAGTCTATCGAAAGATTTCCATGGGTAAAAAGTCGAATAAGTTGAGCTGGCTTCAGCTACACCCGATGGAGATGTATTACTTGTCATAGCTGGAATAGCATTGTCTTTGTACATATTTTCGATACTATAGTATTCATCACCAGATGAAATCAAGAATTTGCTGAGAGAGTTTAAACCAAACATTTTCAATTCATTTATTACAACCTGTGCCCCACCATTGTTAGCAGTCCAATTTAACCTGTACATTTTGTAGAGTTTAGCTTTACTAACATCAATAAAGTATTCCTTATTTATATTAGCAGTTGTCCAAGTTTGATTTACTTGTGTGTCCAATACAGTCCAATTAATGTCATCATTAGATCCTTCAAATGTCCAATTTTTTGGCATATGAGGAAAGTAAGTTGCAGACAAACTTCGTACTATATACTTGCCAATTCTAATAGGATTAATGAATTCATATCCAATATATCCTACACTACCATTTCCACTCACGTAGCCATAGACATCAGAATTATCGAATGCTTTGTCAGCATTATTGCCCGAAGTAGCATAACTGCTAGAAAAAGCCCTGCCACTTGGAGTGGTCAATGATGTCATAATTGGAATCAGATTATCTGTATAAGTATACATTCAACCATCTCCTTTCAAAATAAATATAACAATGTGCTCTTAAAACTAACCTAATATAATCTTTTTTGCTCGATGCTTAGACCTATCTATTTTTTGTTTAAATACTCTACCTGAGCCAAGGGGTGTTGAATCTTGCTTTTTATGCTCTCTGACACTTAACTTCTCATTCGTGTCGATTGAAAATGCTTTATCTATACCATGATTAACAAAATTGTTTTCATTCAACGAACTAATCACCAATACAGAAGGCGTTAAACCATAAAACTGAACATAATGAATATTTATCCAATCATTACCGCTTGTTGCTAATGTTGCTTCAATTTTATAATAAAAATATTTTTTTTCATTTTTAATATCAAATGTTTGATAAGTAGTTGTATTTGAAACTAATGCTGTTTGTGTATCTAACGTATCCCAAGTTGTTCCATTGTTAGAAGCCATAAATTTAAATGTTCTCAGTCCAGCTAAAAATGAATATCTCTTAGCACACACAGGGTCATTGAATCTGTAGCCTATATATACTGGTTTTGAAGAATTTGGTGTGAAGTTAGTTGTATAAACAGTAGTATCATCATTATCAAAGGCTTTCCAAGTGTAACCTGTTGAATAACTCGCTGATCCAATGACGCTACCAATCGCATTATCATATCCATCCATTAGTGGAACTAAGGGCTTCCCAACCTTTTGATAAAAAGAATATGTCGTATCTTCTGATGAAATCAAGAATTTACTTAAAAAATCATATTCCATCATTTCTAGTTCATTTATTGCAAATGCTGTGGTCGATCCATTATTGCTAATACAATAGATCCTATAGTATAAAAATCTAACATTATTATTGAATGTGAACACTCTTTTCTCTGCAACACCCCAATTTGTCACATTATCCCTTTCATCAATCTTAGTCCAAGTTGAACCATCATTAGATGCTTCAAACCTCCAATTTTTTGGACTTTGAAGTAAATCACTAGATGTCCCCGAATTTCTTGAGGAGATCGTATATTGAGAAATGGCTACTGGATTAGTAAATTTATAACACAACCACTGAGCAGTCGCTGTGCCACTTGACGCCCAACCTTGATCGCTAATTTGATTAAACGCGTACCAAGGTTCATATACACTTGAAAAAACACTACTAGCACTCGCTACTCCTGATGGAGCAGTGTTTGATGTCATTTTTGGTATAACATTTCCTGCTTTTATAGGCATATTGTCCATCTCCTTTTTCTAGAAAAAACTAAATAGAACACACCTTGTAGATGTGTTCAGTAAATTAACCTTGCGTTATTTTGTCAACTCTCCGTTTTGACATATCGACAATGTGTTCAAATGATTTGCCTGAGCCTAGAGTTTGATTAGTTTTTCTGATATCCTTTATCTTTCCGATCATTTCATTTATGGATATATCGTCTTTCATTCCATATTGGATAAATTCTTTTTCGCTGCCAGAGTCTAATACATACATTGTCTGATTCTTCTTTTCGAATATCTCCATTTCATTTACACCAACAGTAGATATTGTATTATACGAACTCAAGATGTTTAGACGATAATATGAATATGCTTTACTACTCTCAAAATCGTAATATATCCTAGTTTCCACATTAAGTTGTGTGTTAGCATATATCTTCTCATACGCAACTCCATCATTCGATCCATACAGTTCAAATTCTTTAATAGAGTAAGATGTTCCAGTTATAAGTAGTGATGCTAATGATATTCCAGTAATAATTTTTGGCTTATTAAATTTAACTTGCAACCAATGTCCTTCTGCTGGTGGGGTTGAATTTGTAAACCAAAATGGTCTTACTGTAGCACTTACTTGCCCATCAAAAGCATACCACGGAAAGTCTGAAGCATTATATGCGCTTGCTTTTATTTCTACTTCATTACTTGATGCAGATGTCATAACTGGTACAGCATTTTCTCGGCTAATAACTCTTTCAAGGCGATAGTTTTTATCACCAAATGAAAGTAAGATTTTACGCACAAATGGATCAATTAAGGCATTATAAATTTCAAGTTCGTCAATATCAAATCTCAAATACCCTGTAGTGCCTGTACTACCAATCCTGCCGATCGCTGCCCCACCATTATGATATGCAACTGTTTCTTGTGAAGCGGCAGTTGTTGTTGCAGCAGGGTTAACCATATCATCAACGTACAATTTGACAGTGTTTGTATTTGTTGTTCCATCCCAAGTAAATAAAATATCATGCCATTGGTTATCGCAAATGCTTTTAGGAGTAGAAAGAAAATATCTGTATGCAGAGGTTGCTTGTGACCCTACTAAGACCATTTTGCCATCTGTATCAATCATGACCCCAAATCCTTGTTGTGTAGCAAAACTATTTACATTGATAAGTAAATAACCAGCTACACTTGGTGGGGTAGCACGTACTTTGAAACGAATACTCTTTGCTCCAGTGGGAATTAATGCTCCAGTGAGTTTTATAAAGTCACTCACTCCATTGAATGATCTGGCATTACCATTAACCCCTGTAATTACAGTTGTTCCTGTGACTGAACCAACATTATTTCCTTTGCTGTCAACTAATTGAGATGACACATTTTCATCAAACTTAAACCATGACACACCATATTTATCCATTAATTCTTTTGTTCTTGTGCTCATAATCGAATCTCCTTCCTTATGAAATCATTATTTTATAGACAAAAAGAAGTAGAGCGTTTAGCCCTACTTCACACTTATACTTGTTATTTCAAAATACTTTTTCAAATCGACACTACCTTTGAACATCTTACCTGATCCTAATGAACCATTAGCAGACATACTCGCAATGAACCCTTCTTTTTTCCTGTCTAATACAGAAAGATCTTCCATTCCGTCATTAATAAAAGTGTCTTCCGAAGGCAAAGTTGCGGATATTGTCTTCCACTCTAAAGTTTCAGTGTCAAACCTCTTATACGATCCTTCATGATTAATAAACAATCTGTTTATTGGAAGAGTTTCAATCTCAAAAAATGGTCTGAATCCAGATGTGCTATTGGTTGAATTGGTTGCTATGCTAACATGACCAGAAACAGGATTATTTCCTCTTTGAGATCGAGATCCAGACGCACTACTTGTAGATGAGTAAGACGATATACCGCTCCAATTCCACACATTGTTGTCACCAGCAATGATCGTTCCATTCAAGGTTGAGTTTACAATATACTTATCCCATTCATTATCCTTATCTGTTGCGTTAACGCCGCCTGTGAGAAGTCTTAGTTTGAAAATATGATTATTGTCTAATTGCTCTGAATAACTTAACTCAAGGTTTAATCTGGCCGCATTACTATTCGAGGTTTGTGTGGTCTTCATTATCTTGTAATATCTGTATTCTACGGGTTGATCAAAATAGAATGTCGCTTGTTCTGAGTTGCTCCAAATGGATTTTTGGCAACTTTTTATTAGAGTATAGTTGATATTATCATCACTTCCGTATACATCAATCACTGAAGCCATATTTGCTCCATAATAAGCAGTTACTTTTATTTCTCCAAACTTCACTCTTCGCTTGCAGTCTAATATTAAACCTGTACCCGCATAGGAACCCAGAATCCACTTGACGCAAACGCTTTCCAAGGGTCTTCATTAGTTAGGGGAAGTTCCAACACCAGTTACGCTATATACATCGGAAGCTGAAGTTATATATGGTGTCTTATTGTGAGTCTTAAAAATAGTTGTTGATTCAACCCCAAAAATATAACCAGCGTTGTTAATCGCGTCCCAAGATACAGTATTCTGTATGTCTCTATCAGCAACTAGAAACTTTCTCTTATTCCAGTCCTCAACCATAATCCAATAAAAATCTCCCATTGGAATAGGACTGCCTGAAGAACCTATAAAGTCAAAAGTCTCTTTTCCAAGCCTACTAAATACTCCAGCACTACTCCTAGCCGCAATGTAATGACATCTGATTCGCTTGCCAATCTCTAGTTCTGCAATGCTTGTCACTTCATCTGGATGAAACATTCGTCCATCAAGGTCAATGTCTACAGCATCAAGAGAAAATGTTCCAATCAAACTAGTTGTAGAAAGCTTCACTTCATGTAAACCCTTCTCCAAACCTGACACTTCAAAGACCAATATTTGATACTTATTTGCTGGATTGTTGGGATTCCATGCAGAGACTTTTCCATCAATCTCTATGGTCACGTTATCAACTCTATTAGTCCAATACAGATCAATGATCCTCAATTTTGTCCCATAAAAATTAAATTTAATGCTATTTGATGATGCCCCATTAAGTGGAATATAGTGGGCTGTTCCTGCATAAGTATTAGGATCACCTGTAGCCGAAACCCAACCTAATCCTTCGTACTTCATAGCTGAACTATTGTCATACCTTTTCCAACCTGCGTCAGGTGTAGTCAATTGAGATCCAATGAGTCTTACGATGTATCCATTTACATCAACATCAACAGCATCAATATGAAAATTACCTGTTCCACTAACCTTTTTGACTACAACCTCATGACTACCTTCAGATAAATTGTTTTTTTCGAGAACAATCCTTTGAGGTTGATATGAAGAGGAGGTAGTTGATAAATTAATATATTCAACAACTCCATCAATACTAACTTCAACATTCGGATCATATGCGCTACCATACTCTGCAATGAGTCTAAGTTTCTTTCCTGTAAAAGAAAATTTTATATAATTCCCAATTACATTACTATACATAACAGAACCGCCTTCAAATACACGCCCTGTGGTATTTGCTACTGTTTTCCAATCTGTACCAAAATGCTCTAAGCTATCCGCATCATACCTACTCCAACCACTTTCTGGCACTGTTACCTCAGACCCAATATATCTTACTAAGCGTCCATCAGAATCAATATCTATAGCATCTAGACCGAAAGCAGCGGCTCCAGCATCAGTGACTCCACTAAAACCGAAAATTTTTACGGTATGTGTTCCATAAGGGAGACCAGCCTTTTCATATACAAGTGTTTGTGCTTGAATTACAGCGGTTCTAGCTGTAAACGTCTCAACATTGCCATCAATGGAGATAGATACGCTCTGTGCTCTACTTGTGTTGGTAGATGAAGATATAATCCTTACCTTAGTTCCTATAAAAGAGAAAACCACTTCTCCTACCGCAGATCCATTTGCATTATATGAGCTTTTCCCTTCATATGCACCCGACACTACATAGTTTCTTTGAGTGAATCCTGTGTAGTTTATGAATGGCTCAGCATCATCATACCTTTTCCAATCTGCATCTGGTGCTGTTAAAACAACTCCAGCACTTCTAGTCATGTATCCATCTTCACCTACATCAACTGCATCGAGAATTAGTGTTTTGTTGTCTACTGTTTTAATTTGAACAACATGTTTACCTTGGGACAGGTCATTTTTTTCGAAGACCAAAGCCTTCGTTCTTGAGGTTGTTGAGTCTTCATTGATTATTCCAACATTAATTCCATCAATAATAACTTGAGCTGTTGTAGTTCTACCTGAATACAAGCCACCAATAATTCTTATTTTTGTTCCATAGAAAGTAAAACTCATTGTTGATCCACTGGTCGATGTGTACTTTGCACTTCCGTTGTAGTTTCCAGCAAGCGTTTCTGTTAACCATGTACCTGTGTAAACAATCATGTCATTCGTATCATCGTACCTCTGCCATCCACTTTCAGGATTAATTAATTGATCTCCTAATACTGCCATTTACTACACCTCCCTATATTCAAATACTGGACGAAATCCCCAAGTAGCATAAGAACCTGAACTTAATGTATAGTTTATGTTTCCCCATTGAGCTCTGGTATTGCTACCTCTGCCAATTCGTTGAATATTGGAAGCGGTTGTAGTGGAATTTCCAGCCTTATCTCTCCATGTGCCATAATTCGGTGTTTCTCTGCACCAGCTATAGTTGCTTAAATAATGAAAAACATCATCTAAACTTTTTCCTGATAATATCTTTGCTACAGGAAAATTAATGAGATACTTATCCCACTCGTTGATTGCGGGAAATGCTCCAAATCCTAAATCAGTGTTCGACTTATTTCCACTTGAGTCTGCATACAATACACCGCCACTTAAAGAGCGAATCGAACCCGATTCAAATGCAACGCCTTCTATCCAATTTTTAGAGTTGAGTTGATCCCATGTGATAGAGTTGAAAATCATTCTATCGGAAATGAGCAACCCCTTGTCTACCTTAATGAAGTAAAACGTTCCACCTACTCCTGCTGTAGTACCTAAGCCATCTAAGGGTATTTCTCCACTACTCAAAGGAGCGCCTGATCCAAAATTATACACAACAGTATTTCCTATTGTGCTCCCTCTGACTGCACCACATTTGATATAATCCCCAATCTTCATATCCTCCACACGCTCTCTTAATTGCCCTATTGTTGCTGGAACTGCCATAAAATCACCCCTTACTCACTCTGATTCTATCTACTTTTTGAAATTTCGTATTTTCAACCTTCTGACGTAGCACCATCCCAGTTGGAGTGTCCGATGTTTGTTCCATGTTCAATTGATATATTTTCTTTAAGCCTAGTGAACCCGAATCACTCTCAATAAAAGGATTACTGTATTTATCCTTCTGATTAAAATCGTCTATGTAAAAGTTCGAATATTTCTTTTCTGCAAAAATCTCAATTTTCATCTTCGCATACTTTGCAGGCGATTTGGACACAGCGCTATTAGCAGAGATCTCCTCATACTCCAGCCACTCAAAGCCGTCTTCAGATGTACTCCAGTAAATCTTGTATTCTGCGCCCCCCGCAACATCTACCTTTGCAGCCACACCTTTAAATGATGCGATCTTATCCTGAATTCGAATCGCGGTGGACTCCCAAGATCCAGTAGCAGGATAGATTGAATTCCCGTCCGCATCATGACCCAGTTCTCTTAATTTCAATCTCTGATCCTCATATATCGTATCTTGAAAAACACCTACAACTAGATCTATATCTAGTGCAATTTCTTGAATTCCCATATTCTCACCACCTATCTCATCTCAAAATCCAACTCAACGAATATCCCAGTTGATGATTCCAGCATGGTTAGCCTTCAAAGGGGCTTCTATCTGATCTATTACAAATCCATTCTTCCGAATAACTAATCGCCCAGGTAGATCCTGGTTGGAAGAAATTTTTATCTGAAAATATACATTTTCCTTTAATGGCAGGGAACACACACATTGAAAATTAATTTGAACATCGTTCAAACTCATCGATTTTTTGTAACCAAAGTTAAAACATTCGATCGTGTTTCTGAACGTTCCCGAATTTCCAGTCCCTGAATATCCACTCATATTCGCTTCTGAAGAACCATTTTTGAATTGAATGATGTCATTATATAGAAAGGTTCTTCCGGTTAACGGATACTCTTGATCGTCACATACGTATGATACGGAGTAACGATCGGCATTAATGTGAAAGACACCATTGGCAACGTTATAGTACACTTGAGAGCCTTGACCTACTAATCCGAAAGAAACCAGCTTGTCTTTGTTAATTTCATAAAAATGATGTGATTGTTGTGTCTTCAGATCAAATTCACTCAGAAAAGTTCCATCATAATAATCAGCGACCCATAAATAAGCTTGCGGTACAGGTGAGCGCATAAATTGTGTATTACCTAAAATCACAGTCTTCCCCCCTTATAATAAAAAAAGGGACAGACTACTATAGCCTGTCCTCATATGTATTTCATTCTTACACGTAACGATATGAGATACGTTTCTTGAACTGTTGCTTGCCGCTTTTCGCATTCAACGGTACTTCACATTGAATGGACAGAGTCACATAGTTACCCGCTGCATCTTGGGGGTTTCCATTGTTGTTCACACCAAGAATTTCTTTCGCTCCTGGTGTCAATGGGGTTGCATAAGGAGTTCCTGAATGATCCTTGGTTGTCTTGCCTGTGGTCCCGATAGGTTTGGAAAAATCTTTACCGACACGTGAACTTTCCTCATCCAGATCTGTCTCACCCAAGGAATCGACCTGAACATGAAACCAGTTATTTTTAACAACTTCAACTTCATTGCCAACGGTATCCCCTGTACCACCACTCATGTCCCGAGTCGTAAATGTGCAATCTTCCATTTTGGATACATCTGATGCACCCTTTTTGTTATTCCACACATTAAAAATATGAATTGTACTTTTGGTATCCGCATCAATGACACCGTAGTCAAACGGTGCTGTAATCTCCTGACTGTGTGTAGCATTCATCCATGTAATAATAGGTTGTGTCATAATCATCAATCTCCTTTTTTATGTTCTTACCGTTAATTGAATTGTTAGATGCTGGATATTAAGCCCTGCTTTAATGACTTGAATTCGAAATACATCTCCTGCTGAAACCTGTTTGCTTGCAAACTTCGCCTTTTTATTATCAAAATGTTCTTGTACATTGAACTCCAAATGATGCTCCATAATATCAACCCAATGAATCAGATCTCTTGATCTCTCGATCTTAATTTCAGTCTCAGTCTCTCCAGAGACACCACAATATCCTTTCACATCCACGATCTCACCATGAAATGGAAAGGGTGCCACAATGCCTATAACTTCGTTAAATAAGTAGGAATCTTTGCAAAAAACAATAACACGATCCTGTACTTCCAGCGGGATCTCATTTAATTTCAAATGCTCCGCCACACTCATAAGGCCATCTTGATATGAATTAACGACTTGCAGATTCTGGCCGAATACATCGATTTCAATCCAGTTGTTACCGTCATATCGACGTCTCTTGCCGTCCTTGTAGGTTTGCACCGTCCATCCGATTTCAGGAAAAGGGTAGGTATTCCACAGCTCACGAAGATCCGCTACCGGACTTTTGTATACTAGGCGTGTCGTTTTATAGGCATCCTTTGCTCGATTAGCAGCCTCTAACGCTTCATCTGCTGCATCATTAGCATGATCTGTAGCACGTTTGGCTTGCCCTGTCTGGTCTATGGACTGCTGAATGGCTCCTTCTACTCGTTCCATTGCTAGTTGCGTCTCATCTAGCTTGCGCTGTGATTCATCTATAAAATCTTGCAACGTTTTGATAACATCCGGATTACGTGTGATCATCGCGTAGATACGTGATGCGGGATACATAATGAGTCCTCTACCCTTATAACGACATAGATGGACTTTCCCTTCTTGGGACGGGTGAAATTGAATGGTACCCATTCCGTAATGAACGAGGAATTCATTTTCTTTTAACATCTGATGCTTCTCATATACACGTTGGTCGATCTCAACAAAACCACCAATAACAACCTTATCAGTTGATGAAGGAATTTCAAGTAAAGTAATCATGCCGTTAATGACAGGTAATGAATCTGTTCGATCCACGAATGGATCTGTAGCATCTCCCTTACGGGCAATAATCGTCAGCGGATCATTATACTGAATATATGTATGTAAGTTTGACAAGGGTTCACCTCCTTACGTAATATTTAGTTTGTATATACATTGCTGCTTCCAGTCGTGACTCTGGCAGAGGTATCCAAAGATGTTGCTACTGTTGAATTGATACTGCCAATGGCTTTACCTCCTGCAAAGACGGTTGAACTTCCTGACGTAACCCTCCCCTGTCCACTGCCCGATGTTGAGGGTCGTATATTAACATATCTTGTTGAGCCGCTACTTGATGGTACCGCTGGACTTGCTATCCATGAATCCGGAGAAGAATCATTGACACATGTAATTGCGTGTCCATTCACATAAACTGTTGAGACAGATACCGTTCCAGATGAAGTTATGACTGCATTAGTGCTTCCGCTACCAGTTGGTGTCCAGTAACCACCACCCCAATCAATGCATACACCTGTTTCCTCATCTCTAATTGCACAAAAGCGCTCAACCCAACTTTCAATCTCGTATGTAACATGCCCAATCTTGCTTGTCTGATTTACACTTGAACCGTTATACGCTACTCCAGCCATATAACCTCCTACTGTAACAACTTAAATTGATATCTGAACTGAATCCATGCATCTCCACGCACTCGTAAAATATTTTTCCCTACAGACAAATTCATAAATTGATCATTGAAGTTCTTATATCTATACGTTACTGGAAGAGAGGATTCTATGTGTTGTCTCTCGTTATCCACATACACTTCCTCATCGTGCACGAGATTCTTGAAATGAAACTCTTCAGCATGCCGGGATTGATTGTAAATCTGAAAATCACCATTCCCTTGTTTGTGAATCCATATCTCTGGTCTACATACCTGATCTCCCTTGTTAATAAGCACAAGTACTGGTTCAAACGAAAAAGTGATTTCTTTTAATACCGGTGATCTACTCAGGTCATTTGTATCCATTAATACACGATACATAAAATGATGCTGATTAACCGCCGTATCTTCATTCATTCCAGGTACAATTCCATCATTGATGCATGTTTCCCATGAAGTCCATTCTTGCCCATCGATGGAGTGCCGGGTCTGAACAATAATTCTTGAGTTTTCAGACTCCGTCTCACTAATCCAATTTACACGGCTTAAGACTCCTCCTGCTTCAATAGGAATCTGAATGGAACGGGAAACATAGTGACCTTTCAAATGCGTTAACGATAACCAATTCGCCATATGGCCACCTACTCAATCTTTCCAAAAGGTCGAAACCAGGCAGCAGGACCGATTTCTTTCCATTTCGCGATTCGACGGCTGGACCATACTGCATTTTTATCGTACGTTGTCGTCCCATCAATCGTACTCCATATCGGTTCTTGATCACCGGATTCTCCTGCCTGAATGCAAATATAATATCTTCCATTGTCTATTGTAGGCAGCACCATATCATTCTTCTGGTACATCGTGGTGGAAGCCCATTGATTGGTTGCTCGAATATCCTGAAACTCTATTCCATTCGATACAGGAAAGACGGGTTCACGGTAACCTGAATAGCCAGATTGTACACATTGATATACATGGCCGTTATCTACAGTAGGAACAATATAATCTCCATTTTTGTATGAGTGTACATTCTGCCATTGTGGAGCAGCTTTACCAGCACGCGTGTTTACCCAACCGTAGTAACTTCCATACACGCAATTGACGTTACGCAAGGTCGCATTCTGTATATAGTCACCACTGGTGGGGATATCTGTTACAAAATCATCTGATATTTGGTCTAGCTTTTGAAAGTTCTCTGCCAAATCTCGAATGGTGTTTTCAATCTCATCTGTAAAAGCAGGTATTTTTAATTGTAATTTGGATGTGTGGATTGACATATTTCTCTCCTTTCTTGATTCAGTTCATATCGATCCATTTTGTGGCCTTAGGAAAATCACTCCACTTCGGTCTGTGAGTATCCAAAGTGAGATGGCTCTCTGGGTTAATAATCACCGATTTGAATTCTGTAGCGGCTTGAAAATCAGGCTTCCAATTATAGATCTGGTCTTTCCATTCATACTTTCTTGTTGTCATCACTGGAGAGTAAGCATAAGGTGAATCACACCTGAACGTTAAAGTAATGTAGCCTTGTTTTAGCCCATTGTGTACAAGGGTCGCATCATCCACCACCAGTGCATAGAAAATGCGTTCAGGGTTTATACCATCCTCAGTAGTAAAATATAATTCCTGATAATAATCATGCTGTGTCAGCCACCTTGCTACTTCTCTTATCTTGTCTGTATCCCAGCTTTCTTCAAACGCAAAAGAAATAGAAAATTGTAACGGCTCAACCTCTGTTCTAATGAAATAAGGTTGGTCCCTGCCCTTGATTTTCTCTTCTACAATACTTCGGGACGGAACGAATTCTTCTTCCATCATGCCGCTACCAAGACTAACATTAATAATGCCAAAATCCACAGATTTTTGGCCTGCATACGAAAAATATAGTGCATCCCGAATGGTTATCGTAATCACCTCCTTTCCAGATCTACTATTAATTCAGGTCTATACGTTGGCCGTTAATTTTAATATTGCGATTAGCTTTAATTTCAATATCACCATCGTTTTTCATATGAATGGTTGAACCGGCTTCTGTTTTGAAAATAATTTCTTTACCACTTACTTCAACTGGTCCGGATTCAGACTCCATAATCACTTTGTCATCCATGAATTTCAGACTTCTTCCTCTTCCATTGGATTGTGCCGAATATAACAGTTCGAGGGACCCATTGGGTTTGGTTATTAGACCTTTGCCGTATTGCCTTGCGTCTCCCTCACCCATACTGATAATTGGATAGGCTGTCTGTCCATCTCCTTCAAAATACAGCTTCATTTTGGTCTTGTCTGTCATTCCATAGACCATCACTGGCCAGCTGGTAACATCCGTTGTCATTTCACCAGATTGACTGGCATTACGCCAATATAACTTACGCCCATCCGATAACGCTTTATGTGTACCTGTTCCCGCCTCAACCATACTCGTCAGAAAGGTTAACTCTTTCCCTTCAATCTTGATATAGTTGGACCATCCTTGTACTGCCGCGCGCGTCAAAGTCGAAACTTTGCCTGAAACGATTGAACTTATGAAACCATCCTCTGCCGTAACCATCGTTGCAGCGATAAGTTCTGCATCGATCGCTCCCGCACCTACAATGTCCCATTGATTCATGAATATCTTACGTTGCTCCGAATCAATCAATAATGTGTTTTGATTATCCGTTATCTTCAGCTTTTTGAATTTGGCGGTACCGTCCATGGCAATGGATGCAACAGCATCTTCAAACTCTTCTGCGCCCGCCCAGAATCCTTTCAATGGGAACATCTTCATCACACCTGCCCCATCTCGCAGGGTTAGTGATGATCCCTCGATCCGTCCATTTTTGAACATGGAGTTTTGGATCTCTGCTGAATCGGCATAAAGCTTGTTCATCCAGACATTGCCGTAATAATCTGCATGAAAAGGAGCCCGCGCCCATACACTGGACCCGAGAGCTAAACCATTTTTATCAATTGTGAAGACCTGATCATCCACGCCAGCTTTGACAAACAGATCACCATCAAGCGAAGTACCGAACGTTTTGTCTGCAATCCCGTTACGAAAACGTTCGATGATGAATCCTTCCTCCGCTGTCATAGAAACGCGATTAACTTTGGTCGTATCATTACAGTTAGATGAACCGTACCTGTTTAGGAAAAATCCAAAACGATCAGGTTGATCCGAGAGCAATCCGAGCTTAACGACTTCACGTCCACAACGGTCATCGATCATCAATCTGGACCCCTCAATGGTAAACACACCTGTTGTATCCCCTATGACAACCCGCTGACCCAGAATGATCTTACCTAACACCATTTCAGCAATCAGTCCATCTGCCGTAATAGCCGTTTCATATCTCAGCCCCCCTGATCGTGTCAGGCCCAGTGCACCATTTGTCAAACGTAGAAACCGTAATGGATCATCCGGATCAGTAATGGTAATCCCCTTGTTGTTAATATCCACTGTGTTGTTAATGGACATATTAATTTCATTCGTAACCTTATTCCAGAATCGGTCGAGCAGCTTACTCATATCGGATGAATCAACGACAGCTTGACCCCATTTTGTTTTATTGGTATCAACAATGATCGAGGTATTCTTGGTTTCATTCAGAAACTTCTCAATTCGGGTAGATTCATCGTTTACATTTTTAATGTTGGATAACGTTAGACTGATGGAAGACGAATCATAGTCATATTGAATCTCACTGATACGGGCGGTCACACCAATACCAACTGATTCATATTTCACATTGACATAATCCCCCAGATTGAGTTTATCCCAATTAAGCTGCTCCTCCACAATCTCCAGAAAGTTAACAATATCTATATCCACAGATAGTTGAGGTACCTGTAGTTCCTTGAATTTTTCAAGAGCTGCCTCGTACAGATCCTTTTCATCAATGTACTTGTCTTCATTAAATTCTCGTTCAATAACAAAGTAGTTGAGCTCCTGTAATTGCTCTGAGGAAAAGTTGTTCTCTGCCGTTAATAAGGTCTGTAGCTGTGTAATTTGTTGCTTAACCGCTATAATCTTGCTGTTCAGGTTTGAAATTTCGACCTCTTTCAGGGAGATCTGGTTCTTTTTCTGATCCAAACTATATCGATCCACAATGGTAGCTTCATTGGAAGAGGTCTCGTATTCACCCAGGCTTATTGAGTTTACCTGAATAAAGCAACTTGCTGTACCCCCGTTTAAACTTACCGTAACCGAATCAGTTCCCTTAGATCTGGTTAGCATCGTCCATTTTCCAGATACTGTATTGACCCATGTTCCATTCACTGAAATGGATACTCCAGCAGCAGGCTCAAGTCGTATCATGACAGCATATGCATAATCTGAATTAAGTTGAAACGTTCGAGATGAGTTGCCCGAATGAGTATATTTTTCAAAAAACATTTTATCAGCAAACTGTTGGGAAAGTGTCACTTCCTCCAAAACAGCCTCGTCGTTTTGTAACTTGTTCAGACCAATCTGTAACGGAATCAGATCCTTTTCATACTGTTGAAGTTGATCCAGATATTGATTGAATTTCTCCTTGTTAGACTCAACCAGGTTATTGTAATCAAGTAAAGCATGGCATAGTCCATCAGACATCCAAAGACTTGAGGTAATAACTTTACGAGAGGAATCACGTTCAAACGGATATAACCAGTAGCCAAAATTCTCAATATAATTCTGTCCTGTAGGATTCACTTTTTGAATTCCTAAACCATCTCTGCCGCCCGCATATAATCTCGTAACCATTTCCTCGGCACTTGTCTCTCGATTCATGCTTTTTAACAATTTCCCATAACCCACGGTGAGTCCTCGATTAATTCCAGTCAGTTCTGGCTTGGTCATACTGATTAGTCGTTTTTCTGTATTAAAATGAACAATCGCGTTATATGTCTCTGCTACCGAGAATACAGCTTCAAGCGCACTGTTAGATGAAAAATCGAATGTCCTGTAACTTAATTTAAAATCGGCATCCAAATAATCAATGTTCCAAAGCGTGTTGGCCAGCAGTTCCGTCAACACTTGTTCTGCATGATACGATTCTGCAAAGTAACTATGGATACGCTTGTCTGACAATTCCCTGGCTAGAGAGTAACAACGGACGTTTAGCATGTCCGCATCACCCAGATCATCCCCTAGGCTATTTACCGTAAACCACTCTATCTTGTTACCTTGCACCATTTTTATTAAATATCGTTCTTTGATCAGATCTACATTTTTGTTTCTGTGCAAGACATGGGCAATATCCAGCTGGTACGGTAAAGAGAACGATAACTCGCTAACATCATTTAAGCGTGTACTCATGGAGTCATGACAAATCTCACTCATTTTGCTAATGATCTCCCGATTCGGTTTTGCTAAAAAATATTGGGGCTGTATAGGTTTTCTAAGATGATCTATAACACCTGGCAATGGCTTCACTCCTTTCTACAAATATAAAAAGGAAGGGCTTCTGCCCTTCCCTAAATGGTTCTCCACTTTAATTTGTTATTTAACGCCTCTTCGAATTTCCCAAGCAAGTTCATTCCGGTATCGTTATCTTTAGCCATAATTTCAACTTTATCAATCTGGATTCGGTTATCCGTATTTCCGGCAACTCTGTTCTCAGAAAATTTAAATGTACTGAAATCAAGACCGGTTTTGATTCGATCTGTGATCCCCCGAACAATATCTACAATCTTCAGAAGATTAGATGTATCAGATTGATTCAGAATCAACTCTTTCTCATGGGCAAGCAGGAATTTCCCTCCTGCAAACGACGGAGTCATACCACCAGTATTCGCTGAAAAGATATTAAGCTTAGCCAGTTCCGCAAAGCTATTATCAGGGAATTTATATTTCTCCCGATATCCCTGGTTCTCCTCTTGCAGCTTTTTGAATTCCTTTTCCAGTTGCTGATATTTATATGAGTCTGAATTATACAAGGCCATTTCTTTTCGGATTTTTTCAGCCTGATCCTTATTACTCAAATAATGTGTCCATGCTTTTCTTGTTTCCATCGTGCCTTGAATTTTAAATTCATTGGCTGATCCACTATTGTTGTTCCCTTGTGGTCCTGAATCGGATGATGAATAGTCTCCTGCTTTAAATTTCCCTATGCCTTCCATTGATTGCTGAAAATTGTACGTCATGTTCTGCATTTCTTGAGAGGTCTCAAATACATGCTGCTTTATGCTAGCAAATAATTCGTTATACCTGTCTCCTATTTCAGTTAATTTCGCAGTGACGACTGCAGCATCGTTACTCATCAATCCTTGCTTCAAATCATAAAAATACTTTTGGTCCTCAAGGATATCCTTGTAGTAACGTTCTGTTTTCTTCTTCTCATCATCCAGATTAGCTAGCGTTGTCTCATGAAGATCGCTATCTTCTTCTTTTAGCTTATCTGTATAGTTCTTATGATCATTAAGTTGGTCCTGCAGTCCCTGCTTAACAAGCTCTCTTTCACGATCACGTTCGTATGTAGCGATTTCTTCATCTACGGTTGTAAGTTGCTCTGTCAGATCTTTTCGTTTAGCCTTAGCCTCCATGGAGTTATCCAGAGACAAAACGTTAAGTTTGTCCACAATTTTCTGACGTTCGTTCTTTTTCTTGGTCAGCTCTTCTTCATAATCGACAGAAGAATTTTCACGATCCAGTGCTTTTAGTCGTGCATTAATGTACGTTTCGAACTTCTTCTGCTCATCATCCAGATGTTTATTTCGCTCTTTATGGCGTTCGTCTTCAGCTTTCCGCTGCTCATCAATGGCATCGATAGCAAAGTCGCGCTGCTGCTCAATGACTTTTTTGAAATCTTCAATAATTTTGTCTGCGGCATTCTCACGCAATGCTTTTAATCTCTCATTTACGTCACTCATAGCTGAATTGTTGTCTATCAGCGCAATGTTTAAATCTTTCAGCGTATTGGTATATTTAACGGTCTGATCAGCGTTTAATTTGCCACCTGAAAGTAGATGCTCTACATATTTAATCTCTGCTTCTGTGATACGGTTCTTCTCTTGTAGAACAGGAATCTGGCTTGCAAGTTCCTTATTATATTCTGTAGATCCTTCCGTCATAGTCTTCAATTTTGCATTTGAAAGAGAAACTAGATGATCTTGTTCCGAAAGCTTGTCATTATAACTTCCGATATATGAATCTATTACTTTCTCTCTTTTAGCATAAATTTGAGACTCATCCTCTACGTTCTTTGATTCCAGGTCTGCAATTTGCTTATTATACGTTTCTGAAGTTATTTTCTTATCTTTAAGCAATTGCTTAATCTTGGCTATCTCTTGCTCTCTCAATTTAATTTGTTGACCAACATAACTAATTTGTGATTGTTCTTCTTTGCGCCATTCATCAGAATTAATGTATAACATGGATTGTTTACTTGTAGATTTTGCGATCTTTGTCTGTACTTTATCGATTGCCAATTCGTAATATTCAGTCCAGGAATCGATTAGCTTGTACCGATTATCGATTTGTAGGTTGGAAATATCTTTTAATTCTTTCTGCTTCTCTTCTACTGCTTTATTCTTTTCATCTAACGTCGCTGGTACAATTTCGGAGGTACTACCTGTACTTTTTGGGGTTGATGATACAGAGTTTACAGATTTTGCTCCTGTTAAGGAAGCATAATTATTAAGTACCTTGGGAACATATTTTTTGGTCTCTGAAAAAGGAATATTATTTATTTCGCCATTCTTGATCCACTTATTTACATTCCCAGGCCCTGCATTATACGCAGCCAGAGCATGTTCAACGTTACCTTTGTACTTTTCTAAAAGCTCGGAAAAGTATTTAGTCCCCCCTTTAATATTCTGTTCTGGATCAAAATTGTTCTTCACACCTAACCCCTTAGCCGTAGCAGGCATTAACTGCATTAACCCTGCTGCTCCTGCTGAAGACTTGGCCTTAGGCTTAAATTCGCTTTCTGCTTGTATAATTGCCGCAATCATGTTCGGGTCAACCTTATACTGCTTAGCATACTTGTTAATATAGTTAGCATATTTTCCTGAGTAACTGCCCGTTGTTTTCGTTGCAGTAGAAACGCTCTCGGATGTTACATCTTCTGATTGTTTGGTTGTTTTTATTTTGGTAGATACTAACTTCTCTGGGTTCTGGATACCTTTCTCAATAAGGTTTTTCTTCTGCTCAAGTAGAGAATTCTCCTCCATCAAAGATTTTCGATATGCAGCTGAACTGGTTTCCATGTTCTTTTGTCTGTTGTGAAGATCATCCAAGGATTTATCTACACCTTGAATTTGTTTCTGAAGTTCGGTCAGAACCTCCGTGGTTTCTGTATACGTGTTATTGGCTTGTTTGGCGGAGTTTGCAGCCTTATCAGAGGACACCGCGTTTTTCTCATTACTAATGCCCAAAGAATCCAGTGATGATGTCAACGCACTCATAGTGGCATTTGTGTTATGTACAGTTACTAAAAATTCTTCATAAGGGGCTGCAAGATTCTGTAGATCCTTATTAAATTTGTTACGCATCCCCTGATTTTCTGTTCCTAACCCTGTGTAATCCTCAACTTCAACGTCTGCAGCTAGCTTTAATCTGACTTGGGCTTTGGCAGCATTCAGTTCCGCAACCGTTGTAATGGCTTTGATTTCAATTCCCCAAGCTTTCAGTTTACTTGCTAATACTTGGTTATTATTAATCAGCTCATTTTGACCTAGCAATTCTAATGTTTTGAAATAATCAACCTTGGTTTTCTTCAAGTTTTCCAACGCTGATTTCTCAATTGTATAGCCGTCTTTGGTTTGTTTCACATGCTTGGCAAGTTCGGGATACTTCAGAATTAATGCATTCATCTCATCTGCTGACAGAGACTGCCCTTTGGATAGGTCATGAATAACAGAGTTCAATTTGCCAATCTCTGAGGTAACACTATTGACCTCACTGGTGAATTTACTTAAATCGGTATTTACCTTGATAGGTTCCTCTAAAGGTGCTAAATTAATCTCCGCGATTGCTTGATTAACTTTATTTAACGTATCTATAGTCATATCACCAACGTTAGGCAACTGCTGTAGAAATGTCATTGCTTCTTCAGGTGTTTTAAATTCTTGATTCTGGAAAGCGTTAAATATTTCTTGGGCATCTTCACCAATTTCCGTAGCTGTAGCTTCACTTTGAGCAGCCATCTCAACATAGATATCGACAAATTTTCGGGTTGACGCCTTAACCTCGATCCCTTCTGCTTCTTGTAGATCTATGTAGCCCTGATAAGCACCTTTGATTGCATCGGCCTTAATATTAATATCTTGTTGGAACTCTTGATTTAAATCGGCAAGTTCTTGACGCAATTCTTCATATTTTTGAGCAGCAAATTCACTCTGGATAACGGCATTGTTATAATCAGTTTGATTATAATTTTCTGGACCCATACGATTGTACATTTTTAATTGGTTTTGCCAATAATCATAGGTGTCAGTCTTATATTTCTTTACTTCTTCATCCTTGTTATTAATTTTTTCTTTACTACCAGCTATTCTTCCCTCAATATCCTGTGATTGTTTATTATATGCCAATTCAGCCTTGAATCTTTCGTTCTCAATTTCTGTCTCTAATTGTTCAATTTTTCCTTTAATTGCTTCTGTATTCTCACTCAGAGATTTGGTCTGACCGTTAAGTGATTGAGTCGTAATTCCGTATCTTGTAGACAATTCACTCTCAAGTTGGGCTAGCCGTGTTTTTTCTTCATAATTAAGCGAGGTCTGGTTTGAGAGTTCCTCATACTCTGCTGACAAAGATTTCAAACCATTGAGATCGTATACCTTCTGATTCAACGCTTCTGTTTGATCAGAAAAATCCTCGGTGGCTTGAGTCGCGTTTGAGAACTTATTCATTAACCACTCTAAACCGGTACCAATTACCGCAAACACAAGTCCTACACCAGTACTAGCCAGTAATGCCTTAAAAGAATTTTTTAATATAGTAAGACTCATGCTCAATGCTTTGGTACCCGCACTCGCTGCAATAGTTGCAGCAGGAATTCCCATCAAACCAAGAACGGCCTTCGCAATCTCCACTACCAAAATTCGTAAAGACGCGCTTAACAAACCTACAGCCATGCCTAAGAGGCCAAATAATGCAAAGCTGCTATTTAGTTGTGCCATCCAGTTCAGTAAACCTGTGACAAGCGAAGTAATGGTGATAATGCTATCAGATACAAGAGCATTACCCAGAGCAAGTGTTAGCGATTCCCATGCTGTCTGCATATTTTGAATTCTTGCACCGAGCGATCCCATATATTGCTCATTATCTTTCATTGCCGCCCCTTGTGAATGGAGGGCTGATTCCGATGCATTCACTGATGTTTGCCAATTCTGCATCAAGGCTGTAAACGTTGTTGTCTGATCTTGTCCAGCCAAGCTGAAAGCCGTATTTTGTTGCTGAGCTTTCGTTAACTGATTCCATTTTCCCGCCAGTTCATCCAATACCGTGATCACATCTTTGTCAGCTTTGGAGATACCTACGGATTGTAGAACCCCGGCAGATTGTTCATCCGAGCCAACTCTAGTATATATCGCTTTCAGTCCTCGTCCGACAACATCTCCACTTTCCCGAGTGATACTGCTAATAGCTGCTGTATTTCCCAGTAGCTCCTCAATCGAAACCCCAAAGGATTTGGCTGCTGCGCCAGCTGAAGTTAAGGATAATGCCAAATCCTTACTTGAAACACCGTAGTTCCCACTAACCTCCTTGAGCTTATCTGCAATTCCCATACTCTTATTAGCTTCGATGTTAAATGCAGCCATTGCACCAGTAAGCGTATTAACCGAATCACCTGGCGTCAAGTTGGATATATTCTGCAACACACTTGCAGCTTTCCCTAGACTCAGTGTATCTGACTCGTTAAACCCCTGATTGGCAAAACCAATTAAATTTCCGTTCACCTCAGACATGCTACGACCCGTAGATTGGGCAATGTTGATACTACCATCCAACATTCGATCTTCATTGAATGACTTCCCTATTGTTCGTTCTAACTGATTCATCTGACCATCAATTTGAATGATGGATTGAACTGCTTTTCTTAGTACATCCATGGGCTGAATCAATGAGGTTACATTTCTCATCCATCCCCCAGCCATGGTTGAGGCCCCCTGCATAACTTCACTCAAGGTTTTGATTTCTCCGCCAGCTGCAGAAGACGAGCGTGTAGTTGCTTTAAGCTGCTCATTGACTCTAGCTAGATGCTCCGCAGATGCTTTATAACCCACAGTAGACATGGATGAGTTAAGTGTCATCATCTCATTGCTTAGTGATCTTAACCCATTGGACACAGTTCCATTCAAACTGTATTTTTGACTTGCCTGAGCAATTTTGTCTTCTGTTTCCTTAATGGAATTACGAAGGTTTGTATCCATTTTTGCGTTCTGTTGCAATGCTTGCTGATGCGCTCGATCCTTGGATTCGTTGTTTCGATTTGTTTGCTGTTCCAAGGCTTTGCGCGTGGATTGTTCTTCACTAATAGTGATTTCACGTTGCTGGTTTAAGAGGTTTTGTTGGTTAAGGAGACGTTTCTGTTGCGCTGCATGCTCCATCACCTTATCGAAGTTTTTCACTTCACCATCGTTATTGGTGTTTACCGTAAGCAGCTGACCTGCGTCATTTTTAAATGTTTTAGAGTATCCTGTAATCTCACCTAATTGATTCTTGTTTGCTTTACTCTTGGTCTGTGTGTATCCTTCAAGTTCTTGCTCCAGGCGTTTTATGGATTTACGTTGTTTGTCATAAGCTGCTGTTTCAGCAGCAGTCATATTACGTTGTCGTTCTTGAATAGTCTGAACTCGTTTATATTCATCTACTGCACTCTGCATCAATAGCTGGTTCTGAACCATGCTACGGTTCAATCTGTTCATGCCCTCTGCATATAAGTTCATACCTTGTATAAAGCTCTGATCAAAATCCACTTTGATCTCAAGCTTATTCATCTTGTTTGACAGTTCTCTAAGTGCTTTGTTTAGGTCTGTAATGACTTGTTTGGTATCTATATTTAAATCCAGATCATTCTGCATTCATGGATCACTCCTTTTATATCAAAAAGAAGCAATTTAATGAATTGCCCCTATTCTTCGTATTGTTCAAACTGCTCACACAGTTGGTCGTAGACATCCGCTGTTTCTCCTTCCAACTGTAGTGTACAGTTCTGAAGGATACGGTACATCGCTTTTATCATTGGCATACGTTCAGCAGTGGCTTCAATCATAACTTGCTCCTCCAGTAACTCCTGCATCTCTGTTTGAAGCTTTCGCGAATCGCGTGGAACCATAGCTCCTGCTCTCATGACAAAACTACCGTCCTCGTTCTTTAACATGTGTTCCTCTCTTAACTCTTCCATTTCCTCATGAAGATGCTGATAGTGTTCAATCAAAAGTTTTTTAAAACGGGTTCTTATCCGACTTTCCTTGGCTTCCAGTTGGAGCTGGTGCAGGAATAAAATATGTTTTTCTAGATTTACTTTCAGAAACACTAACATGGGTACTTCTCCTTTAAGTATGTATTTATTTAATTGCTCTCATTAGATGATTGTTGTGTACGTGTAATAGCCAATTCAGAGATCATCGTTGCCATTTTTTCTTGAAGCGTCTTGAATTGTTCTTCAAGCTTTTTGAGCTCCTGATCAGGGAACTGTTCTAACACTTGTTCCATAATTCCGTTATCAAGCAGCATATGAGTTACCTTGATCAGCTTTTCCACGTCCAGCTTTTTGGGAATCGGCAAATTCGAAAATTCTTTCAGAAGGAGCGTATTATACAATCCAACCGTATCTTTGATGACCTGATCCGTGACATCCGTCTTCTGTCTCAGTTGATCGATAAGGGATACATAATTCATGTTTACATTGTCCATTAGAGACTGCCGAAAGAACGTATGAATCTGCACTTCATATTGATGGTCTGTCACATAAATAGTTTTGCGCTGATTGTTTTTTGCATCCAACGTGCTTAGAGCATTCGCAGTTAATTTTTTGCTTTTATTTGATGTAGTCAACATAATCACTCCTGATTCAGATATATTGTTTTTGATTAAAATGAGAACTTCCTGATATTACGGCTCTTGGCTTGAGCAAATTATTAATGATATCAGGCGAAACATAGAAAAAGCTGCATGGTAATTAAAATGGACATGCAACATTTCAAACATATGACGAGGTGATATAATTCTGTAAAGTGCTCAAGCTACTTTGAATAGTTGCAGAAAGGGCTAGACCAATATTGGTCCAGCCCTTTCCACACACCAAAATTTTAGTCTTCCAGTACGTCAATAACAACCATCGCTTTGGAATGTGTATCCTTCAACACTTCACAAGTAAATGTAAATGGTTGCGGATCGCCCGTAGATGCCATGCCGATAGAGAATCCCGGCATTACTTTCAATTTGGGAATGGTGTAAACAGCTTCCACATCGAAACCATCTTCGTTTTTCCAATTGGTTGTACCTTCAAGCAAGTATGTTCCTGGGAAAATATCTGAAGCAACAGTCATGCTCTGAGTTGTGTCTGGCGCAGCGTAATAATAATCTGCAATAACTTTATCTCCCTCATTGAGAGTTGATCCTGTAAATGTCACTGTCTTACCTGTAATTGGAGACGCAACAAGTTTAGCTTCCATGGAGGAGCCATTGGATGTTTTGAAGAAATGAGTCAGTTTTGTAGTAAGTGGAGCTTGGCTCAGCTTGATTTCTCCACCGGCACTTACTTCAAGAACCTCTTTTTTGTGCACAGGTTTGGTTCCTTTAACAAATTTGGATCCTGTCAGAACAGCCAGGGATTCTTTGGAGATCAACGCATCTTCCATTGTCATAGTTACGTCTTTCTCGGAATCCCAGCCAATTAGCTTCGGATGTCCTTTTCCACCACGTGCATATACCGTTTGTCCGGCAAACTCCATCGAAGATGTCGTTAAACTTTCCAAGTAAACGATCGGCTCTCCAGACTTTACATCCTTCAATACTACATCCATAATTTCACGTGATCCATATCTGCTCATACAATAAATACCTCCGATAATTTCATATAATTTGATTTAATTGGGTAAAAGCTATTCGTTAATCTAATGGGGAAATCCAATGTCTTAACTTGATACTTTTTGAATCTGCTCCGTGCAATAAAGCCTGAATGTTAACTTCATAATCATCCAGTAACTTCATCCGATTGAACTGATCATTGAACTGAAAAAAATTCAGATCAAAAACATTCAGAATATTGATTCCATTGGCGTGTGAGCTCAAGATGGATATCAGATCGGTAAAAGTTAAAGAGTCCTCCGCAGATGAACTTGCTTTAAGTTCACGAACTTTACGTTTTCTTGCAAGCATTTTTTCTCGTAGTGCTTTCGCTCTCTCATTGAGCGGATTAAAGTCATCGTCTTGCTTTGTTACTACACAATGTTGAATTTGAATAATTTTTACGATCTTCTCCAGATCAGAATAAGGCAAGATTATCTCTCCAGCCATAATAGCGGAAAGCGTATGATTAATTTGGATTGGAGCATTCAGAAAAAAATGAAATGCATTAAGATATGCTGCGATTAAGGTTTCATCCCGAATGTATAAGAGTAACTCAATCAATGTCCCATCATAATCTTTAAGTGAAAGGGCTGGGTAAACATCTTCTACCCTGAGACTGACCAGATTCAGCTTTTCATTAAAAGCCTCGTATCCTTCCTCAACGATTGCTTCCAATGACTTCGGGAAAATTTTCAGTCCTTGAAAAACTACTGGCTTGTTGGCTAGCGTCCTTAATTTGATATGTTGAACATTCATATTAGGCAAAATCAAGCATACGATAGGCGATGCTGTCCCCATAATAGTAATCATTTGTTACCAAAACATCCATTTTATGAAACTCAAACCGGAATCCTAACTCTGCATCTTTTGCAAACAAATCATCAATTTTACTGATAATATAATCCGTCCGTAAAAGTTCATTATTAGTCAAACATAACTGACGATGAGTGTAGACATTAAAACAAATGATTCCAGCCTTATAATGATTGTGAACAGGTAGAACGTTCTCAATGGAAAAAGATACTACCGTTTTCAATTCATCTTCGTTTTTAGCAGGAATGTACCTGTGCGGGAAAATTCGCTTGTATATGTATTGTTCTGGGTCATCTACAACTGATCGTTCAAAATAGTCAGCTGTATCATATATGACTGCTTTCATCAAATCCTTAGACATCAACAGTTTATTGATAACCTTCTCTCTTGTACTACTTAATTGGTTGAATGTTGATTTAACCATACAACACCTTCTTCTTTGAGTAATGGATCAGCTCGGACTTGTGTCTGTTTGAAATAGCTTTTAGCACAGTAACTAGGATTAATCCCCAATGATGTTCCTCCTTCTTAAAAAAGTTAAATAAACAAAAAGTGTTCCTTGATTGGACTCTTCGTCTCTTGTCTATCATTAAACAATCTCTTGACCAATCGTGCAAAGCCTTGGCAGGACTAGCTTACAACGATTTCCTAACGCATTTTATTTTAAAAATAGAAGAAGGAAACCACAATTCAAAGATGTGATTTCCCCTTTTTAACTTTAGAAATGTGGTGCTGGTGTGATCTCAACTCGGTGAAGCCTAGCCTTCTTGCAATCTTTACAATATTTATTCGATTAGACTTGACCAGCATACGTCTTCCACAAATGGAGCAGTTCTTCACGTTTTCTCCCTTCCAACGAAGATACTCCAGAACAAAATCATCAAAACGCTCTAAATGAAAAGAAACTTCATCAATTTCACAGGCGAAAAGCACTTGTACATTGGTTGAATCAACCCTCATACTACTTTTGAGATATCCATGTTGAATTAATTTATATACTAACAGTCCTTGATCCTTTTTACTTACCGCCATTTGGCTATCGCTATATACATCCTTCATCTCGTTATTAACCCAATACGTATTACTTTCGTTAATAAGATTGTTGATTTTGCTGTATACAAGCATGACAAATGCCAGTTTTTCTAATCGAATACTTTTTAATGCTTTGATTTCTTGAAGCTCAGTGTGAGTTATCGGTATTTTATCGATCTCGATCATCGTACTTTTGTTGTCTTCTTTTCTACTTTTTATCCAGTTTTCACTCTGAGTAATAATGCGAGTTAAGTATTTATCCCATTGGACAGCATTATAGTCTGGGTAATACTGCGTCATAAAATTGTCTAGCGATTCATAAGTTTCATTAACATTTTTTCCTTGAGCAAGTTGGAATTTAGCTATACAAATGAGTGTCTTCGTAGGTTTCCTATCCATTTCTCCATACTGTAGTGCCCGCTCGGCATGGCGTCGCTCATTCAGAATGATTTTCACTGTAAAGATCCTCCAGCTTCAATGTAGTCATTTTGAACGTTTTCCCACCAAATTCAATATCTCCCTGCGGGTCACTGACTGGATATGCAACCATTTGATCGTTAGCAGTCAATAGATTACGGATAATCTGATCTCCAGATACGTCCCAGACAAATTGCTTTGATTTCTCAACATTCTTATAACATAACGACACAATCATATTGCACAAATCTTCTTCGTTACTGCAAATGCCCAATGCCTGCTCTTTAAAGCGTGAAACAAACAGTTGCCATTGGGCTGATCGCTCATCTTTTTTTGCTTTATTCTTGCGTATGTTTGTCATATAGCTACGTAATTCTTCATTATGAACCTGATATAATTGTTGGATTTCTTTGTATCTGGCTTGTGAATACTTCTTAGGGCTCATCAGAATGTTATGGTCAAAGGCTGTATTTGTCTGTTTCCACTTTAATCCCTCAAACACTTTTTCCACTTGGTGGCACAGTCGGTTCATTACAGAGGGGGCCATCGACACAGGCAATCTCTGTTCAAATTGAGTAAGAAACTGTGCTTCATCCGTAGATAATTCATTCTTTGAGCGCAATTCGTCCATCGTCATACCAAACCGTTGCAAGCACTTCTGACTGGTCTTTTCCACGTACGTTGTATAATCCCGTTTCTGTTCCGGATCGTTGTATATGAAAAAGTACGGTTTTTTATGGGCAACGATGTTCAGATCCAATTCATTCTTTGCAGCAACCCGAATATCATACCAATGTTTTGGCATTCTTTTACACTCGATCCCTTTTGCCTGATCAATGGCATTTTGTTGATAATGCTGACCGCATTGAATCCGATAATTCAGTTCCTGATATTCGGCACTGCCCTCTTCATAATTGGCTAGCACATCAAACATTGAAGTAATCTTATTAGTGGTAAAACCGATCAAGTCTCCAAAACTGTCTTTATTGGCCTGAATCAAATCTTTCTCGTCCGGAATTTTGGGAGCAGCTGTCTTCTGAACACACACGATCGCATCCAGCTCCTGGATTGCATCTAGAACGATTTTATTATCTGTAGTCAGAACCTGATCACTATCCATATCTGCGCCATTCAGCGAATGAGTTGTTGTATCCCATGAATTCAATATGGTGACTGTATTCATGTATCGGTACCAATGTCGTATTTCATCCGTATCACTAAAACGAAGTACCTTGATATTGTTATGACAAGTCATCGGACTCTGGAAACAAGCCACACGGTTAACATTACGCTCTATCCAATACCTTGGCCGTGTTAGCGTGGCGATTGGCCAGCGTTGGCTAACGTTGATTGATTTGATTGTGTGATTATTGTGATTGTGGATTGGCCATTCCTTATTATTATTATTATTACTTATTTGTTGGCCAGCCGTTGTTGACGTTGACCATTATTATTGACCCATTGCCTTGTGGTGGCCCGTTGTATTATTATTATTGTGTGTTATGACTATTATTGATTATTGGCCTGGTCAGCTTTTAGTTTATTTGGCCCGTTGATTTGTTTTGTTTCATTTTACATTGTGTATTATTCATTATTGTGTGTGTTACGTTTATTTGTTGTGTGTGTGTGATGTGTGAGTGACTTATTGTGGCAGCTTATTGATTATTGTAGCAATAATGGCATTGATTGTGTGTA